CACTTGTCCAGCTCTTTCTTCACCATGACCGCGTTGGACAGCCACTCCGGGAACTGCATCGGTTTAACGTGTCCAGCTCGCAACAATTTTTCTACCTCCTTCTCGATGACCAGGTCAAGCTCATGCCTGAAGTGTCTACGTTTTTGCTTCACATGCCTAATTTTTTTGTCCACATTGAGGCGGTGGACTGCCAAGCGGGGGTCTATACCAGTGAGCTCCTCGGGGCTGAAAGCAAAGATATCCACAAACTCCCTCAACGTTTGCACCAGCTCTCCTCAAATGTTATCTGATAGGTCTTTTCCTACTCGGGTCGCCTTCCCCTCTACTCCTTCTATCAGCTCAATCTCGAGAAGTTCGTCTCGGGTAGCGATGTCCACTTTCACTTGCTTTTCAGCTTGCCCTACGATCTCTTCGGCTTTTCTCTTTCCCGACTGGCCCTCTTTGATGGTGACTTGATAGCAGGATCTTGCCATCTTTTGATTGCCCTTTACTTCCCCTACTTTGATTCCCATGGGGAACTTCAGCTTCCTGCAATAGGTCGATACTACGGCCCTAAAGGTATTCAGGCTTGGCCGTCCGAAAATCACGTTGTATGCTGACCCCGTCTCTACAACTAAGAACTTGATCATCTTCACCTGCCTTAGCGGTGCCTCCCCCAACGCCACGGGGAGGACGACTTCACCGAGGGGGACTACTTCCACGCCACTAAAGCCGTATAGGGCCGTTTGCACCGGTTGCAGCGGTAAATCTAGCTTCATCTTGTCGAGGCAGTGTTTGAAAAGTATGTCGACTGAGCTTCCCGTGTCCACAAAGACGCGTTCCACATTGAAGTTTGCAATCTCCGCTGTTATTACTAGCGCATCATTGTGGGGCACCGCAACACCCCCTAGGTCCGCAGGGCCAAAGTGGATAAGAGGTATCTCCTCCGCCAATTGGACCTCCTCTCTCATATGCTCCTCCACTGCCCTTACATGCCTCCGCCTTGCCCGATTTGAATCTCCATCTGTCG